AATTTAAGAAACTCTGTCATTGATAAAGGCTCTCCGTAAATTTTTTATGTTCTTTTGTAAGAATTGTTTGATCAACTCGCAGGCACGTGCAAGCGACACGTTAAATTTACCTCGGAGGTAGATGGCCGCGCTCTTCTTGGTCACGTGATTAAAAACCTTACTCTACCACTGGATGTACGTAATCCCTGCAGAAGTCAATGTATTATGGAGAGTCGCTGCATGTCAATCAACATTGGTCCAGTGATAAACGACAAAGTGATTTGCGAGCTGAGTAATTCGGATCACTCTTTACACCCTGACGATCTGAAAGCCCGACCAGGCTTTACCTACACCGGCACTGAGGTGAGAGATTAATATTCAGCTATAAATTATTCTTCATGTGGAAAGAAAAGATAATAAGATCCTTAGCCTGGTGAAGCAAAAGATCGACGATCCTATGGCTAGCTCGCTTCATCGCTTCTTGTTTCTTTTCCCAACTTGTATAATTTAAAATTTCCCTATCATGCGGATGATATCAAGGGCAAAAACCGTCGGCTTGTTGTCTGATAAGATCTTCAAAGTATTCGAAGTAAAATTTCAAACAAAGCATATCTTGCAAAGTTTGTACTTTCAAACCCTTTAAAGCCTCAAGCTTTAATAATACTCCAAAGCTAAAGTTGAATTTATTTTTTTCTCATCAGAACGCGTGTTCTAGTAATCCTTGCGTTAATAATGGAACATGCTTGAGTGGATTTACAGACAAGAACTATCACTGCGTGTGTCCGGCATACCTAACTGGTGAAAACTGCGACAAAGGTAAACACAGGCAGTAGTTAGCAAAGGGTAAACATGAAACGGGTAGGTGAGCTGTGGGAGGCAAGAAACTCTCCCACTGTCCCCTCTTCTTCTCCCCACTCTCCCCTCCCTCTCTCTGTCCAGTTTTTACGACCGCTTCTCAGGCTAGCAGTAGTTTACAGGCTCGAAAAAAGACATACTGTTCCCTTTTTAACTGCCACTAAAATCTTAGATTTTTGTGACATCTGTATTTTTTTAGTGTCAAAAAGCCATATTACACTTGCGTAGCACGACTAAAGGCCGGTAGACACGAGGGGCTTTGTTCCCGGGTTTTGCTCCAGGGACACGCTCCGGCCAAGCGCCGAGCTCCTCCGTGTGTAACAGTGCTTTAATGGACGTAATTCATTCATTCGGGAGCAAAATTTCCACCCTGCAAAATGCTCCACAGCTTTGAACCGTTTAGATATTTAGGGGCAAGATCCGCTGAGGAAATTGAACAAATACAGAGTAAACTCCACCACTACGCTCTCTAGTGTGTACAAGTCGTGCAAACTGATCCTGAAGCATGCTCCTAGAACAAAACCCGTCTTGTGTATCGGCCTTAAAACTGCTGGTTATGTTGATATGAAAGTTTCTTTAGATCAATAACACCATGAACATCATCACCCAGACACTACTCTACTGAAATAATGGCTAAAATTCTTATGGTATTAGTTGCTCTGAGAC